CAGGCTTCAAGTTTGTTGTTTGTTTGTACTACTAGAGTTTGAACCAGGTTCCCAGCTTGCTAGGCAGAGAGGTTGCTACTTTAGCCACATTTCTAGACCCTTTTTGCTTTAAGCTAGTTTTCAGGTAGGGTCACTCATTTTTGTCATAGTTGGCTTCGGATGCTGATCCTGTGGCCTCTTGTAAAACCTGGGCTGGCCTGGAATTGCGGTCCTTCCAATCTCTGCCTCCCAAGTAGCTACAATTACATACATATATGGCCTGAGTTAGATTTTATCTGTGATGTAAGGTAAGATTTATACAAACTTTGAACTTAAATACTAGCTATAATGACATTTAGGTATTTGTATAGGAATTTGTTCCCATTTCTTAAATTTTGTCTCTTGATTGGTCTCAGTATTTATTGATAAGTTTCCTTTGTATGTGTATACTACTAAAATTTATCATAATCCTGTGTGCGGTCTGGAACTTCATATGCTTTTTAATTCTGGAATATTATAATTTTGCGGGCAAAATGTTTTTTCCCACAAATTGCTTACCATTTGAGAAGGAGTGTAATTCTTTCCTAGAACGCATACTTGAAATCTGAGACTATCAAATACAGTTATTGTCACAAAGCCTCTGCTTCGAAGAAGGAAGCCTTCATACTTTCTGCTTACTATCATTCTTCCTTGGGCCTCAGAAGCTGGATTCTTTTTTCTTTTCTTTTTCTTTTTTTATTTTTTGGGGGGGTCCGGTCGTGGGGCCTGAACTCTGGGCCTGGGCACTGTCCCTCAGCTCTTAGGCTCAAGGCTAGCACTCTACCACTTGAGCCACAGTGCCACTTCCGGCTTTTTTCTTTTTGCTTATGTGGTGCTGAGGAATCAAAAGCAGGGCCTCAGGCATGCAAGGCAAGCGCTCTACCACTGAGCCACCTTCCCAGCCCCGATCATTTTATTTTAATTGATTAATTAAGTCTACTCTGGGGCTTGACCTCAGTGCGTGGGTGCTGTCTCTTAGCTTTTTCCCTTGAACTTAGTGTGTGGGTGCTGTCTCTTAGCTTTGTCCTTTGAGGCTGCCACTCTACCACTCCTTTGGTGATTAATTGGGAATAAGAGTTTGTCATGGAATTTCCTACCCAGGCTGGCTTTGAACCATGATCCTCATAATCATCCTTCTGAGCAATTAGGATTACAGTCATGAGCCACCAGTGTCTGGCTAAAGATGTAATTTTAAAGGAGAACTTTATTACTTGTTTACAGGACAGTATTTTGTCTTTCTTTATCTAGCGTACAGTCCATATTATCATAGGTTTAAGATGTTTCTTTTTGTATTGTCTAGTTTTTCCATGTATCTACCTAACAGTCCTTTAAGAGAATTCAATATTCTATTATATCGAAGTACTCCTATATATTCAGTATATGGAAGTGTTTAGGATTAATTTCCATTTGTATGTTCTGTTTTATACATCTTTGCCCACAGGTTTTTTTTTCTTTTTTCTTTTGAGTCCGGTCATGGGGCCTGAACTCTGGGCCTGGGTGCTGTCCTTCAGCTCTTCAGCTCAAGGCTAGCGCTCTACCACTTGAGCCACAGCACCACTTCCGGCTTTTTTCTTTTTGCTTATGTGGTGCTGAGGAATCGAACCCAGGGCCTCAGGCATGCAAGGCAAGCGCTCTACCACTGAGCCATCTTCCCAGCCCCAAGGTTTTTTATTTTTTCCTCAGTACTAAGGTTTTTGAACTCCTCGTGTTGAGACTACTAAGCAAGCACTTTAACTATACCTCTGGCCCTTCTTTTGGTTCCAGATTATTTTTCAGATCAAGGTTTCATGCTTTTGCCTAGGACAACCTAGGACCACAATATTCCTGCCTATGCCATCCATGTAGTTGGGATTACAGGTGTGCCACATCATGGCCTAGTTCCTTCTTTTAGAAAGAGTTTTTGCTTTTGTCTGTGCTTCCCCTGAACTTCCCAGTCTTCAATTACAGCTGAAATTACAGGCTTGAGTCACCACAGCTGACCCACGTGACCATTTTTATGTAGGATTACTTGCCCACAAGTCCGTTAGATATTTTGTTGCTCTGTGAAAATACTTTTATCAGTTTAAAGTATTGCTAGTTCTGCATGAATAGTTTTCCATAACTCCAGTGATTGTGTTGTTTTCATCACTTACTATGCAGTAAGAGATAGAGCTTGCTTTTTGGTGGAAGTTGCACTGTTGGTCCTTAGTATCCATAGTTCCAAATCCATGGAGTCAGACAACCACAGAACCCTGGAGGCAGGGGCAGGCACTTGGCTGATAGGTTATTGAATCTGTCAGTCCAGTGCCTGGGACTGGAAATTTCCTGTGGACCTGCCCCCTGTGCTGACCCTGTTTAGGTCTAGACCAGCAGAGGCGCCATTACACTATGTCACATGTGTCTTCATGTTCATGTCCTGTCTCCTGGCTCATCTCCAGTCATCTTGGTGTCCCAATTAAGCTCTCCATTGGAGCTGAATTGGCTTGTTAGTATTGTTTTTGTTCTTTCTTCCCTCTGTAGCTTGATTCCTAGCTGTGTTATGTGTTTTCAGGGGCTGCAGACCTTGGTAACAATGGGCTGCCTGCAGACTGCTAGTGTTGTAATATAGATTCCAGTATTCCATCTTCAAAAAAAGGAATTGTGTATTAAACACATACAGGATTTCCTTGTCATCAGCCCCTAAACAATATAGTTTGCAAAGTATTACAATAACCTACAAAAAATTCAAATAAATGACTCAGGAGGCTGAGTCAGGACAATGGAAAGCTTGGCTACATAGTGAGAGAGAGAGAATGTATGATATGTACAGGTTAGAGAGAAATACTACGTTAGACACTTACGTATCTTTGGCTTTTTGTGGTATGTGTGTGCTCACATGTGTATGTGGCAGGGGAAGAGTGTGTTTTCTGGAACCAATTTCTGTGATACAGAAAGTATGCAAGTAACTGGGATTACATGTATGAGCTACCACTCCTGTCCTTAGTGGTTTTCTTAACCACCATTTTTTTGTCAAATTATTGGGCTCATTTTGAGATATAATAGGATGGTAGGGTTTCTCTCTTTAGGTTGAAATTCGAGAACTAGAGTTTCTGAGTCTGAGGATTAAGTCTTCAGTGATTATACAGATTTTATTCCACAGGCTCTAGTTCCTTTCACAGCTGTCTTCTGCTAAAACTGCAGATGTGTATCCTCATTAAACATAGACCTGACCTCCAGTCTGGAAGCAATGTTAATAATGCTTCTGTTTTTGTGTATTTTAACTCAGGCCCTGGACAGACTATGTGCCTTAGCTTTACTCAAGGCTAGCAACTCTACCACTTGAGCCACAGCTCCACTTCTACCTTTTGGTGGTTAATTGATTGTAAGAGTCTCAGGGACTTTTCTGCCTGGGCTGGCTTTAAACCATGATCCTCAGAGCTCAGTCTTCTGACTACCTAGGATAACAGGCATTGCCTGACAGCAATGCTTAACTCTTATCTCCTGGCCCTACACTGGTCCCTTTTAACAAGAACCTGGTTTCTTTATTCAGAGACTTATGCACAATTGATCATAATTCTGTTCACATACCTGTCTGTAAGAATGGGCAATGTGAGAATATAGGCAAAAGAAGAGCCACTGTGGGGTAGGTGATTTCTTCTTTGTTTTTATAACATTAGGTAATATGCTTATTTTTGTTATAGCCCAGGCTTCACTTTCTAAGAAAACTTGTATGAATATAGCACTGATTCTCCTCTGAGCATATCATGGAAAAATGTTCCTTCATATATTAGGCTATAGCAGGTGAAAGAAAAGAATGATTTCAGCCCCTGCATGAAGTATTTGGGTGCCAAATGCCTGTATCTGCCCTTCTGAGACCTGGCTTCAGGCCCTGCGGTTGCTGGGGGGCATCATTAGTGCCGCATGGTGCTCTCTCTTCAGGCAGAGGCTTCTCTATGGATATGGGTGGGTATTTTGTGAAAAGTTGGAATAGCAGAGAAATGAGTTGTTTGTAATGAAAGTTAATTCTGATCTTTTGGGAGTTTGACTTAAAAATAACTTTTATCCTATTTTGAAAGATGGTTACAGTTCTAAGGCATTTACTGCTTGTTAATCATTGTTATGTCAGTTACCTATAACCAAGTTTTTTTGGATAGTGTTTTTTGTGTTCCAGCTAGCACATTTTGCAAATTATAACTTCAAGCTTTGTAAGGCAGTGTTCTTGGACAGTATTACATTTTATAACAAATGTGAAGATACGAATTGTATCTGGTTGGATTACCATTAGCTGCTGTAGCTATTTAGGCAAATTCATTAACACTCCTGGCTTGGCTTGCTCTACATCAGGCACACCTCTAGTTCTCTTTTGGCTGGTTAATTGATATTTTGTTTCAAGGAATTGTCTGCCTGAGCTGGCTTAGGACCTCATTCCTCAGATCTCAGTCTCCCAAGTCACTATGATTATGTGTGAGCCAGAGGCTCATAGCTATTACTTAGCTTTCTTTGTGTACATCTGGCACTCTACCAGTTGAGCCCTACTTTCCATCCATAATACATTGCTTCTTTAGCTGCCTTAGCCACAATTTTATCAACTCATTAGCCATATGTAGCCATCGGCTGCCATATTGGACAGCAAAAAAAAAAAAAGGTTAGCACTATTCTAATGCTATGATCTTTTCATGATAAAATGCAGAAGTAATGAGTTTAAATGTGTGTCTTACAGATTTTTCTAAGGAAGTTTAAGAAGATCATAAAAGATCTCAAGTTGGAATGAGAATTGCCTTGGCTTTTAGAAATGTGCCCTTAATATGGAAGTGATATGAATGAACCATCAAATCATTTATACTCACTGACATTAATTGACATAATGATTATTGCTTAGAAGAAGTTAGCTAGTTTTCTTTGTTGTTGCCATAAAGTTTTGACCAGGTCGGTTGTCTGCTTCACTGAAAAGAACCTGGCTGGATCAACTGTGGAAAATGTACATTTAGAGCCTTCTTGATACTGGTGTTTTGTTTTTCCTGCAGGAGAACTGCGGCACATCACCAAGCTGAAGCCCTGGAGCCTCTTTGATGTACTTGTGGAAAAGTATGGCTGGCCCCATGAAGATGCTGCACAGTTTACAGATTTCCTGATCCCAATGTTAGAGATGGTTCCAGAAAAACGAGCATCAGCTGGCGAATGCCTTCGACATCCTTGGTTGAATTCTTAGCAAATTCTACAAATATAGCATTCTGAGCTAGCAAATGTTTTCCAGTACATTGGACCTAAACGGTGACTCTCATTCTTTAACAGGATTACAAGCAAGCTGGCTTCACCCTCAGACCTTTATTTTGCTTTGAGGTACTGTTGTTTTGACATTTTGCTTTTTGTGCGCTGTGGTCCTGGGGAAGGTTAGTCTCTTGTCTTCAACTAAGTAGTTTACTGACCATTTTCTTCTGGAAACAATAACATGTCTCTAAGCATTGTTTTTTTGTGTTGTGTGACATTCAAATGTCATTTTTTTTTGAATGAAAAATACTTTCCCCTTTGTGTTTTGGCAGGTTTTGTAACTATTTATGAAGAAATATTTTAGCTGAGTACTATATAATTTACAATCTTAAGAAATTATCAAGTTGGAGCCACGAAATAGCAAGGAAATGTACACTTTTATCTTCTGGCAAAGGGACATCATTCCTGTATTATAGTGTATGTAAATGCACCCTTGTAAATGTTAATTTCCATGAAATATGGGATGGGGACTCAAAGTTCAGAAACGCTACCAAGTCCTGAGCGCTTTATAGCCTAAGTTGCATGTAGCAGACTTTCTGCTGCTCCAAGGAGTTGTACAAACTTTTCATTCCATAACAATCCATTTACATTGGATTTCAAATGAGGTGGCTCTGGATTATAAGATATCATTCCTTATATGGCACATTAAAGGAAGACAAGAGAATGCTTCTCATTCTAAAATATTCATTATAATTTAGTAGTCCCATTAGTATTTTTGCCTATTTTTAGAAGTGATTTTCCTTTAAAATTGTGATGGCCCAGTACCATGTAGTGTTGCTTCCTCCAAGCACTGTAATGTTAAATATGTAGAGTAAATGGGTCAAGAGAAAAGTGTTCAGTGTGTGGGATAAAAATACATATATTTTGGGAGAAGCATGGTTGAGTTTGTGTAAAGTTATGGTTTATACAATTTACAGTGCAGTGGGCCAAAAACTCCTCACAGCTGAAAGGTAATGGTGATCATGTTCATTCCATAGACAGCTTTCTGTGTTGGCTATAGCAAATTTTACTCACTTTTTCAGTCTCTCCTTGAATGAGAAAATGGTTTCCCTTTGCAGGATGCACACAGTTCTTGTTCATGCATTTCCTTAAAATTGTAGAACCCAGGACACAACCCATTAGTAGGCAATACAAGTTTAGAATGTAATATATAGAGGTATACTTAGCCTCATCTAGAAGTCAGTGGATTGAATGTCTTTTTATTTAAAATTTTACATTTATTAAGGTGCCTCATTTTTCTTGACTTTGTCCATTAACATTTATCCATATGCCTTTGCAATAACTAGATTGTGAAAAGCTTAAAAAGTGTTGTAACAATAATCCATTGTTTGGGGTGCTTGCAGTTGTCTCAAAAATTAAAGTGTTTTGGTTTTTTTTTCCAGACATTGCCTTGGTCATTGCCCTGTATTTGAAGTGATACAACCAATGAACATTTGCTATCAGTTTAGTGTCACTAAAACTAAAGGAAATACCAACATTCCTGATGCAGCAAATGTAGTTGTATAACATACATTAATGCCTATGGAGTCATTTATGGTTTTTTTTTTTTAAGGCCAGAGAGATTTAGGAAAGATATGCTACATTATAATTCATTATATGCAATATCAGTGGTCCTTTTTTTATGTTTCATCATGCCACATACTTCTCTGTGAGTTAGCATTGTATCACATATTGCTGTGAGGTAGAATGTACCTTGTGCTCATTTATGAGATGTGCATGAAGTGTTTCTAATGAAATTATAGGTTTCCAGGTAGATTATACAGCAGATGGTGGCTGTAGACCAGTTTTACTATTCATAGTTTCCATAGGAAACATTCTTATAAGAACCACTGAGTAAATTTATGTCTTCCTTATAAGGATTTTTACCAGGGTAATAGTATACTTGAATGAAATTTGCAGGTTTGGGCCATGATGGAAAATAAAGTAAATTGAGTTTTACAAAGATGGTTATCATTATGATATAAATAGCTTAGAAACAGGTCTTCTAGAAGGAATATGCATTTGTAGTAAGTACCATATAGTTTCAGCAGATTTTTGGTGGCTTGTTAAAAAATATATATAATTTAAAGGAGAAAAATTGGTTATGCCAAACTTTATATTTCTCCAGCTCAGCAATTTTAGTTGAATATCCTATCTTTCCCTTTCTGTGATCCATGTGCTTCTTCATGGAAAATTACAAGATTTAGGTCATATATTTGATTGAAACAGATTCAGAAGCCTGATATCTGAAAACTGGCAGATAGAACTGTCCCCCAAACAGAGACAGTGGATATGAAGAGCTTCATAAAAACTACTTGCTCCTTCTTGTACCTGGACCACATAGGACTTAACAGGATAAAGTAAGGAAACTTTTCCCTTGGAGTAGAGAACTTGTTTCTATACATGAAATTATTAAGTTACTCTTTTTCTCTTATTGTTTTATAATGCAAGTTTGGTAGAGGACAGTATTTGAGTAAAAATTAGTTATTTAATATGCATTTTACACAAAAGTTTCTGTATACAATCCTTGTGTAGTATGCCTATTTGAAACTGAGGAATTAAAAAATTTTAAAGTGTAGTCCTTTTAAAGAGAGGAATGTTGATATTTCATATATACTAGTTAACCTTGTTCTATGTTTCGATCAGGGGTTGAATGATGTAAAGCCATTTTTTTCTCAGACAAATACTTCTTTAGTGAATATAGTAAGTAGAATTGTGTTTGATAAGTCTAGGATGGCTTGACTTATGTTCTTTTAAAGAAAACATGAAGCTGATTAGGATTAAACCCTAAATGAGTTGTAATAACATACCATCATTAGCTAATGAAAATGAAAATTAAAATGATAAAACATGACTTAAAATACTACCAAATCTCATTCAGTCATTTTTTAAGTCTTGTTTACTTTTTCCTGATGCACAAGATTTGCATACTGTGCCCAACTTATGTCAAGTATTTGGATGATAAAAAATTATGTTAACAAACAGTGTCACTGCTATTGGATTTGACTATTACTCCTGAGAGATAGATAGAAGGCAAAGGCTGGGAATTTTTATTGTTGTTTTTTTTTTTTAATAGACCTATCATTTTGTATTTCAGCAATAAAATAACTTCCTTGAGAGGTCATCTTTATTTTACTTGAGAGATCTAAGGATGTCTTTTTCCTTTAATTGTATATACTCAAACTAAATTTAAAGAAATAATTTCCCATGACTTAAAAAGTCTCAGTTATATATTAAACATTAAAGTTTTCAGATCAGTTTTGATTTCAGTCATGTTCTAAAATGTACAAATTAAGATATTCCTATGTATTGCAAACTACTTTTTAAACAACTGTTGTAAATTGCAGTTTTGTTACTATCATGTGTTATGCATTAGTGGTTTGGTTTCAATTTATATAATGTATATACTTAAGTAAATTTACATAGCATGACTGTTTTAAGTAATTTCCAGTGGCTTTTGCTCCTGAAAAAAAAACTAAGTAGGAACCATTTTAGAAAGTAATCAATGGTAGCCTCTAGCTACCATTCAACTTGAGGTAGTAGTTGCTAAAGAAAATTGAAGGTTCCTTCTTCACATTATTCCTTAAGTTTTGTAAAAAACATTTAAGCTGTCCCCAATCTTAGAAGTTGTACAGCACAATTTGGTAAAACTGACATAATTGTGATTTATTAACATGAATTAAAATGCCCAACCAGTGCTTCAATGTGACAGTATATTTAAAATAAAAAAGGAAAGTAAAGGCCATATACTGTACTACTTTTCACAAAGATCACACAGTTTTGCAAAAGACTTGTCATATGTACAATGCTATATATCAAATGAAAAAAGCGTAAGCAATTATATACGCAAAAGAAATGCAGTATTTACAGTTTGCCAGGAGACATTAGAAATCATCTATACATTAAATTACATTTTGCTTGCAAATAACTGATAAAAACAAAATGAGCCATGTCCACACCAAACTATAAAAATCTGTATTGCATTTTATACCTAAGATGCACTCACAGAACTGACCCCCCCCCAAAGAAAAGGAAATCCTCATAGTGCTATTATTAGCTGTGTACTTAATGTATAAAATAATACAGAAAACATTCACTAAATGAATTCAACTGCAACAATAAAATTTAAAGATCATGTAGCATCAGATCTACTGCCAGAAAAACAGCTGGAATGTTCACTTACAAAATAAAGATACCTAATACTGGCTTAACAGCACATTTCTTAAGGAATTTTAAAAAGCAAAAATGGGAAAAATACAATGGAAGAGCACTGGTTTTTGTTGTTTTGTTTTTGTTTTTTTATACAAATTTTCATGTACAAGTTTTAAAAAGTACCTTAATAGGTACATATGAAATATACACTTTATCTTACAGAACATTTAAAAAAATGTTATTGGAGTCCATTTTAATGCCACCCTGAACCATGGTAATTGTTCTGAAATGTTGGTGGCACCTGTGCTCTGTGAATTGGAATCTGTCCAGGCACTGGAGATGCCTGCTGAGGTCCTTGCACCCCATGTGGTAGGGCCACAGAGCCAGGATGAGGACAGAACCCTGAAGCAGTAGGTGTTGGAATACTGTTTGGTCCTTGGGGCTGGAGATGAGGACCTGCAACTGGTAATGGACAATGTGGCCCTGTTCCAGACGGCTGGTGCTGGGGTCCCGGTCCCAGAGTGGTGTGATGTGTAGCTTGTGAGGGATACGGTGGTACAGCTGGATGAGCAGTTGAAGGAAAAAGTGGAGGTCCTTGATGAGGTGGGTGGTGTAAGGCTTGACTTGATGTCGTATGATGCCCAGAAGTCAGAACACTGGAAGGTGGAGGTGGAGGTGGAGGTGGGGGTGCTGAATTTACAACATGCTGGTGTTGTGCTTGTAGACCTTGGAGTCCTGTGGTAGGATGGGGTGGTGGATGGTGATGTGGGGCAGGACCAGGAGGTGGAGGGGGTGGTGGTAAATGATGTCCAGCAGTTTGAGAATGAATATGTGAACCAGGGGTGACAGCATGAACTGGCCCTACTACATGTGCTACAGAGTGTTGCTGATGGGAATTTGGCTGTTGTACAAGGTGCGGTCCTGGAGCAGGTGGTGGTGGAGGCGGGGGTGGGACCACAGCAGCAGCAGTTTGATGGTGAATGGTAGGGTTCTGAGAGGGCAAAAAATGCCCCGGAGTAACATGGTGTCCTGGAACTGATTGCTGGCTTGTGCTGCCAGGAAGTGCTTGATTTGGTCCAGATGTAAACACAGTTTGTTGGGAAAGACTACCTTTAAGCTGATTATAATTCTGAAAATTTGCAGAGGGCTGCTGGTTTTGATAATAAGATGAGGAAGAAGGAGGCGGAGGGGGCGGAGGGGGAGGTGCCGCGCTGCTCAGACTCTGTTGGTTAAACTGACTGTATGCTGCTGAAGATTGTCCTGAGGGTGTCTGTGTAAATAATGCTCCGGAAGTTGGCTGCTGAGTATTGGCTTGATGATTCTGTGTTGCTGGATAAAAATTTCTCTGAGGCTCTCGCTGAGGGGTTCCCACTTGAGGTGACTGTGAATGATGAGGCCTGAAGGGAGATCCTAACTGCTGTGAAGGAGGCTTTGGTGAGAGATAACCATGCTGCACAGGTGTGTGAGGCGTGGAGGACTTAGGAGGGTTTTCTATGTGAGGTGACAGAGGACAGTGCAACTTCGTTGGTACAGAAGGCAGCTTTTGGGGAAGTTGCTCAGTTGTACTGCGAGCATGGGGCTGAGGAGGAGGATGGTTCTTTGAAAGTGCTGGGGTGTTATTTGATAGTTGTTTTTGTTGGAGCTCTGTTTTTAGGTGAACATTCTCAGCTTCTGATACAATAACTGTTGTCTCCCAGTGGGGATCTGATTTTGTGAGTGTTTTCCCATGTGGTTGAGCAGGAATTACAGGTCCCGGTGAACCAGGCTGTGAAGAGAAAACAAATTGGATAATAAGCTTAAGAAACACACTATTTGAGATTTATTATTTTTGGTAGTTATGATTTTTAAGTATTAACTTTAAAAGGGACAGGAATAGTATAGGTTTGAGAGAAGTTAATTATTGAGGCTTCAGGCTTTGAAAGGTTATTGAACAAGTTCTGGACCAGTGAGTTTAAACTGAATTCTATAGAAGAAAATTTGAGGAAATAATGGTCTTTAAATTTAATCTGCCTTTTCCTACAAAGTAAAAAGAAATGTCCTGGGGCCTTACTCTAAAAGAACTTTAATAATCTTATCCTTATATTTGGTATAGAGATTTCAGTTACAGAATTGAAAATTTTACTAAAAACGTAACTGAAATTTCTATATCCAATATAAGGATAAATTGACTTTGGGTACACATATTTGCCTCCCTCAAACCAGTTTTTATTTTCCTTGGAAGGGACTCTCTATATATAAAGTATTCGATTGCTTTAAAATATTACATGCCATATCATATCTTCATAGGCCAGAATGGACAGTCCTGTTAAATGAATGTCACTGATGTTTTGTTTTTAGAGAATTGACTGGTTAAGTATTTCATGAAAAGAAGAATGATCTTCTAAAGAGGTGGAACTTTAAATACAGAAGATCACTGAATTTTAGTAAGTTATTTGTGTCACACTTCAGTGTGAGTGGTGACAGAATAAATAAAACTATACACAATTGACAAGAAGTGTCCCGAAATCACAAACTGATACTTGATATGGTAGAAAAATGTGCTTGTCATGTTAACAAAATTATCTTTTCTAAATGACAACATTTAAGAGTCAATGTTATTACCTTGCTCATTTTTGAAGGGCTTTTACAAATAATTTGCGAAGTGTCTGGGGATGGACATTCATTTGTAGCTGTGGGTTCTGGATTTTCAGGATCAGGGTCTATAAAGCAGAAAAAACCTACAGTAAATGTTAAATAACATGACACATACTTTCTTTATTGACATCACAAAGCAATGTATATTCTGTCAAACTTTTCAAAACAAGGACTCGTTTTTTCTGATTTTAAAAAGGTATTTAAAATAACAAGTCATGATAGGTCATCTGCTTACTGACCTTCTATAAGTTCACTGAAAGAAGGTACTAGGCCCTTAGTGTGCAGCTGGGGAATGTGATTTGAATGAGATGAAGGTGAAGACTGAACATGACTCGGTGAACATGAGACACATGGTGATTCTCCCCCTAGAGATGAAGCAAGCAGACCCAAGAGAACATTAGCACTTACAGAGAACAAGAGCGCAATGATTAGCCAGCTCCACTTTTTAACAACAAGCTTACTTACCACAGTCTTTATCTTTTCTATGATCACTGAGAAGTAAAGCTCTCTGATAACTCCTTTCTCTCACTTGTTCCACTGAAGTGGAGGCAGTCCTACAAGATAAAATCCTAAAGTCAAAGAAGCTTCTGCCAGCTAGATTATATTCTTTGTTCTTTGATGAGCAACACATCCTATCAGACCAACGGTTTTCCTCTACTGGGAAAATATTGTGCTTTTGGTGTTAAGCTTTGAAAATAATGAACTTTCTCTTAGTTTGCTAAGTGAAATTTTTATTCATACTAATCTTAAAAATATATTTATTATCTTTAAATAGTTGTATTCAGGAATTTAACAAAGAATTTTATGAATATAGTGTATCTTGATCAATGTCACCTCTTTCAACATTCTCACCCATCCCTTACCCCCCCCCCCCCCCCCCCCCCCCCGTTTATCCCTGTTTATGAGAAGAACTCATACTAAACTACTTTGTCTTCAGACGTTCCTTAGTATTAAGGAGGAGTGAGTTGAAGATAGTGTATTAGGTCACTTCTGGTTACTAAAGTTAACAAAACATGCCCAAGAAAAATTGCTTGAGGGCTGTAACCTCTCAGGGAACACACAGCCTTCTGCTATTTTGCTAATACCCACCATAAGAGCAGCTGCTTCTCTATTCCTATTGAAGAAATACTAGACTGACTTACTTCTTTCAAGACTAACTGGTAGGGCTTCGTAAAGAAATCATAGGAAGTTGCCTGTCATAAATGTCCTTTAGAGAGGAATATTTGCATGAAAAGCATAAAAAAAGGAGTAAACACAGTAGACTTTTAATGCATAAATATATAGCTGACTTAAAACCTTGTTAGCAAAGATCTTTCAAAATTATAAATGTCCTTGAGAGAGGAATTTGCATGAAAAGCATAAAAAAGGAGTAAACAGTAGACTTTTAACAGCATAAACAAACATACATACAAAATTATAATCACAAATCACTATCTGCTTACCCTTGGGAGAGCAACAAACAGGAAGAACAGTTACTAACAAAAGTCTTTTCTTTTGAGTGTAATACTTCAAAAACAGGCTTACCATTGAACTTCTGGTTCATTCTTCTCATTGGCAGAAGCTTCTTTAATAGGACAGTTATTGCTGGTTTCTTCAGTGGTATTATAAATTGCAGCCGGTATTGGTAAAGGCAGGCTAGCAGTGTTTTCTGCCTGCTCCCCATTTTCACTACTGTGGACACAGCCATCACCACTGCTGCTCAGGTTCCCACTTGCATGAGGTGATACACTAACCAGAGGAAAGTTTTCTGACTTAGAGCCACTTTTTCTAGCTTCACGTTGTCTTTTACGGTACTCTAATAGAGACACCTTAAACAAAATAGAAAAAGCAAACCTTTTATTCTTGTCTCAAATGTCAGAATGAATTCATTCTTTTTATCTAAGGAGAATTATATTTATAATAGGAAAATTATATTAAATAATCAGATTTTTAATAAATAATTAACAATTACCAAATGCCTACATGTGCTAGGCATTGTACTTAGATGATTTACATATATTATTTCATTTAATCCTCACAACAACCCTATGAAATAGGTATATTATAATCCCCATTTTACAGATGAGGAAATTGAGTAACTCACTCACTCAAGGTCACACAGCTGGTGAGTGTTGGAGCCGGGATTCGAACCTAGGTCTTACTTGAAAGCCCGTGCTCTTTCCACTATACTACATTGCTTCCCAAAAGTTGCCAACTGGACTCTGTTATAAAAATTAAAAGCACACATCACT